GGTGGGTCATCTACAATTATCAATTCCATTTACACAAAATTTGATTCAATCAAAGTATTTATGATCAACATATAATATAATATCTATCACTCTTTATAAAGCAGTGGAAATGGTTTGGTTTTTGCCAATTGCGAGGTTGGGGTTTCAATCCTTTGCTATGCATTTTGCAGTGATAATAATAGTAATGTGTTAATGTTGGTCAGAAGTCATAATATGACAAGAAACCACAGTATGTTCATGCATTTAAATTTTAGTTCAGTTAGGTCAGACATGTATCTTATAAATCAAATTGTAAACCAAAATGCTTGAAAGGTTTAGATGATAGAAACATCCAGTTAACCTCTCATGCATAGGTATGAGATTTATTGTATCGATAATATTGTATTACATTCATACCATCCAGCCGTCATTACATCATGGTTGGTCATCTACAATTATCAGTTCCATTTACACAGAATTTGATTCAATCAAAGCATTTATGATCAACATATGTGGCAGAGACAAGCCAAACCAGTCACTCGTCGCAAATCGTGTTTCAAAGAAAATGGCCAAAACATGCTAAAATGTCAAATTTTTAAAAATCTATTTTATTGCACTAAACTAACCTTTATATATCTACACACCATCCTATGCTGTTATTTTCCCCATTTCAATGTTAAAACAACACTTTTTAAGGATTTAAAGATAGTTTCTACATGAGAAATGCCTGAAATCATAAACTTTGACGGCTGATTTCTCATATATTGTTCTTTAAACAGCTGTGTTGTTAAACGCTTGTAACTTCATAAGGAAATGTCTGATTTGAATGATTTTTTTACCATTTTATATCTATTATTTTATTCTCTAACAATGCATTAATAATTCAAAATCGATTTTTGCGACGAAGACAGCAAATGTGCCTCTTCAAAGACTTCTCGTTCACACTGCACTGAGAATTATCAAAGAACATAAAACGAACATTATCGATACTTTTACAACATAGGCCTGATATGATTGAGGACGGAATTAATATATCATGACATTGGTGTAAACCTAATGTCATGCAAACACATTTTACATTTAAAAAAATGTGAAATTAGGTTGTCCGGTGTCATTATGAATTTTGACTTCGAAAAAAAAAAAAAATTATATTCACTGTAAGATTAACAATAGAAATTTTAATGTTGGCTTATGCCTAAAACACTTTTGGTCCCGTCCAATCAGAAAAATGTATTTTGATGACGTCATGGAAAATGCAAAATGTTCCTACAGAAGTTCTTTTGTCCCACACTTCCTTAAACATTTCAAAAAATCATTATAATATGAACTTGTTTTGGTATTGCAATGAAAACTGACATCGTCCAATCAGAAAACAGTACAAAAATGACATCATATAGATTTTAAATGCTTTTATTGAATTCTACGGGTATGCAAACCTCTAGATAAATCTTATATTCACTTAGATTTGCTTCTGTAATGAGTAATTCATTTTGGCACACTTTTATTTCAGTCTGGCCCACTGTGCGGAGTAACCCCCGACTTGAATCGAAAGATGTACTCGGTCCTAGTGCAAATGAGCCAAATTGTGTTCACTGGGCCTACAGATTACAGTCCTTATCCGAGAAGACGTATTCCACCAACAGACCCATAGGCAAGCGAACCAGCACCGATATTATGGATGTACATTGCAGTACACCTGTCTTAACCATCTGACCATTCGACTTGCCTATTGATAATTTATTAAAGTTTAACCTTCAATTTTTTAACCATTATTTACCATCTCATGTATTTTCCTTTGATATTTTTGTTATTTAATTCTGTACAATTTGCTTTGATTTGTTTAGCCCTGTCGATGCTTTCAATCCCGACCTGAAGACATACCCATTGTTCCGGCATGCAAAAGCGATAGAGTTCGATCAGAAGCCTGGCGAGCTTCTCATCATTCCGACTGGCTGGTTCCATCAAGCTTACAATGATGATGAAACCATGGCAGTCAGTAGCCAGGTTATGAATTCTGGAAACTATGAGTAATGTATTGTTTGATTTTTCTTCATACAAAACTTTTAGTTTTGTTTGGCAAAGTGCCACTATGTTATTTACAACATAGTTATAGTATTTTATCATAACTTTGTTTATTAGGGAAACACTTTTGATTTAAAATTGGCCTATAGGAAACCCCTTCCCATGAACCTGGTTACAAGCCTGTTAAATGGTGGCTCCATGTTAGTTATATTTTTGGTTCATTTAATGACTTGGTTGCATATTGAAATACTCCTGTGTCTTTGGCAATGCATTTTGTCCACATTTGAGGCATGTTGTGGCAAAATGGCTAAGTTGTAGCAAAAATTGAAATTCAAGTTATTAGTATTT